CACCAGGGCAAACCTTGAGAGGGCCAGGACTTAAGGGAACGGCCTTAAAGCTGAGGAGCTCCCCGTGTTGCTAGAAAGCCAGATTGAGAAGGTAAAACACATCAACCGCCCGAACTTCAGAACTAAAGGAAGTGGCCTCTTTAGTTCTCTGCCCATCACAGGATTTGTCCTCCAAGGACAACCAAACGTCAAGCTGGGGCACTAGCTACAGCCTGCTCCTGCTCTTCCCACAGAGGGCCATGGGCAGGGAAAGCTGTCATCTGCACCCACGCCCACAGAGCCTGCGATTCAAGAGCCACAGACTCACCTTGGGGAGGAAACAAAACAAACAGCACTTCCAGAGACTCAGCCTTGAAGTGCCTTAAGAAATGTGTAAACCCCAAATCAACTGTGTAGACTAAGATGCAACAGGGCACCTTGGCCCTATGCAAAGGATCGAGCCACCAAAGCACAGCCCAATGCTTAAAAAGGGTTACTATCCAGGCACCCACCGTGGTGCATGTTTACCATACCAGCACTCGGAAGGCCAAGGCCAATTTGCGGTAAGGGTATACTGAACAATGGGATGCTGCCTTATATTTTTGGTTGTGAGCCTAGCCTTTAACGGCTGAGCCATCTCTCTAGTCCAATGGGATGTTGTCTTAAACATACACACACACACACACACACACACACACACACAGCAAACAAACAAGCAAAACAATACTCAGTGTCAGACACATTTGATGTCACTGTCACTTAGTGAGTCCATTATCAGAATGCCATAATGCATGAGGTCTTGACTAAAGTCCCTATGGTGGGAGGCTTGGAACCCAGGGCTAGTTACACGCTAGTCTCAAAGTCCCTTAAGGGCTGTGCCACAGAAATTGTCTTCTGACATTTTGTGTCCTTCTGGCTCTGCAACACCTCCAAGATGAAAGTAACCATTCTAAATCAGCTTTAACAATAGCAACAAAAATTACCAATGGATAAACAAGAGGGCAGAGGCAGGCAGAGCACCGCAGGGAACCCTGGGGGGTGGCGAGGTGGTGAGGACAGAGGGCCGCCAGCCTTCCCAGCTGTAGCCTTTGCTGTACAGCTCGGGCTGCAGCCTGAGTCCAAGGCTGGATTCTGTATCTTAGACACCTTGGCACCCCAGGCCTCGGGCGGGCGCAGAGCCAGACCCTCATCAGGAGCCACCGGGAAGATGCCAGCCAAAGAGCTCTGCAGACCAGAGTCTGCCTCAGGGCTTCTTACCCACACGGGTTGAGGGGTGGGAGGGGAGGAAAGGGAGTGGTTACCCCCTAGGAGTCGGAGCACAGCACCAGCTGACAGTTACAACCACCAGGAAGTCTTGGGTTTGCTTTTTAACATTGAAGCATCATCTGGTTTTTCTTTCCTAGCCTTTTTTTTAAATATAAAAATAATGCCTTTCAAAAACTTGGTTTTTTTTCTCAAGATGTATTTCAGCAAACTGTTTGGTGGGGATGTGTGCTTTATCTAACCCTCTAGCTTTGGGTTCTTCCTACGAGGCTTCCTATTAAACCCTTGTCATTACATGGGAAGCCCCTGCCCCCATCTTCCGTCTTTGCCGTTTTTTTTTTTTAAACACCTCATGATCTGGCTGGCTTGTATCTCTGCCTCATCATGCTCGGGCAATAGTTCCTGCCCAGAGAGGGGGAGCGAAAGATAAGACACGTAACCGGCACTGTTAAAATTAGTGGTTTCCATGGCCTCCGTCAGTTTAGTTGGATTCGGGAGACATGGGGCGCCAAGGAGCTCGAAACACAGCTGCAGCTGCTGCCCTTGTACGGGCAGTTCCTGTGGCAACGCTTCTCCAGCTACAACTGCCACTCTCGCCCGGCTGACCCCAACTTCAGGCCACAGGAGCTCTGAAGGAGGAAGGTCCTGGAGCCTCACACGGAGGAGGCTCAGGCTTTTTAATCCCAGCGCTCACAAAGACCCTTTTGAGGTCAAGACCTGCCCGGGGGCCATGCAGTGAGTTCTACACTAGCCAGCCTGGGATACAGAGTTAAGACCCTGTTTGAGAACAGAAAGAAAGAAAAGGAAAACCAAAATGAATGATGAAGTCCGGAGGAAGGCCTTTTAAAGTTTACAGCCTGTATAAGGGAGCTGAGGCGGGGGCTGGGGGCTGGGGAACCTGGGGGGGCTGGGGGAACTGGGGGGCTGGGGGAACTAGGGGGAGCTGGGGGCTGCCCTCCCCAGTGCAGTTCCCACTCCCCGCTCCTCTCACTGGTGGGGAAAGCACGGCTCCCGAGCCACCTCCAGACAAGGCGTGCTCACGACTGCGTTTCACGGCACAGACCTGACCACACTCAATTCAATGGCAAGGCAGGCTGGGAGAATGTAGGCAAAGGAGTCAAGGCAGATAAATGGGATCTGTCTTCCACTCTGCGAAAGACGGCACCTCAAAAAAAAAAAGCCCCGAGATAAAGCTAACTCTACTAACTTAGCACACGTGATGACATCATGTCCTGAGATACGGCCTCTCTGGAGGAGCAAGATAGAGAGAGTGAATAGATAAACTCACTTGGGATCAAGTCCGCCGCCGGTGTGATTTCCTGAGACTTTCTGGGCTCGGTACAGTGACTAGGGCCAGAAGGAGAGGGCATGGGTACCTTCTGGGCTGCTCAGGGCAATCACCGCATGCTGACTCTGCTTTGCTTTGGAAGTTGGCTGTTTTATTATTCCTTAAAATTTCAAAGTGTATAGACTGTAAACATTCGATGTCGAATTCTTTTTTTTTTTTTTTTTTTGTTATTGTATTTGTTTTGCAAGCATTTACTGAGACTTATTGCATCTATGGTCATTATGACAATTGGTCTATAATCTTTTTTAAATTATGTCTGTCTGCTGTTTTGGTATCAGCTTAACAGTGACTTTATAAAATAAATAGAAAATAATCCTTCAGTTTTTATTTTGTGAAATAATTTGAGCTATGTTAGAACTAGTTCTCCTCTACAGGTTTTGGTAGAAGTTAAGTACATCTAGCCCAGTGCTTGTTTCAGTTCTGAAATTTTAAATAACTGCATCACTAGGGTTCATGGGTCTGTTTAAATTGCTTATCTGATATTGGTTTACCCTTATCAGGTCCAATACAGCTGGTAATTTACCTATTTCTTTTAGGTTTTTCAGTTCGATATAATATGAATTTTTGAGTATGTACTTATATGGTTCCCTGAGTTTCCTTGATGTCTCTTGTAATATTCCATTTCATTTTTTTATTTTACTAATTTCTTTTTTTTTTTTTTTTTTTTTTTTTTATATTAATATTTTTTTTATTTTCCATTTTAAATTTAGATAAGAAACAAGGTTGCTTCACAAGTCAGTACGAGGTCCCTCTCCCTTTCCCTCCCCTCCTCCTGTGCCCACCTCGATGTCGAATTCTTAAGACAGAGCGTTTTTTTAGCAACATCATTTAAAATCGAATACAATACAATGTTTATCTTAACTATAAGGCAACAACACAAATAGAATTAAATAAGTTAAGACCCTAAAGCTAAGATACCCACAGCACTTTTCAGGCCCAAATCAATCTCCCACTTATGAAACTGCTTTTGAGAGAGCTGCCAGCCCACTTTGATGGGGATACTCCACTTTCTGGGAGTACCTCAGAGATGTTGAGATTCATGGATGCTCACAGAGGCTTTGGAATGCCATCTCCCACCAAGGTGGGGCACAGTCCCAGAGCCCGAGACTCTTCCCAAGCCCATCTCCCCTGAACCTAATAAATGGAGGACAAGTACAGGCATTAACCACAATGAACTTTTTAAATGGCCACCAAACGATGGGGACAATGAAGCCATAAGGGACATGTGTGTAAAAGCTGAACACCGTTCTGTATCAAGCAAAAGCTGAATCAGAGACGTAACTCACACAGTGACAGCAGTGACAAGTCAAACTAATGCTGGGTATTTATGTACTAATCTAGGCCTTAAGCACAAATTCTGAAACCCCATTTATAACACTCGTGAGGGTGACTCAAGAAGCCCAGGTCATGTACTAATGAAACGAGAAGCCCATAAGAGACCTAAGTCCCTCCCTGGGGGGAGACGAAGGCTAGGAAGCCTTTAACTTGCTTGTTTAACTCACCTCTGAGGGAAACGGTTCTCATTAAGCTAACAGTGTTGGGCAAGCGTCAGAAACACAGAACCTCACAGACAGAGACAGGCAGAGAGAGAATCACAGTTCAATCCAAAAGCAACACACAGAGGGGACATCAGAGTCCAGAGGCATGCAGAGAAGCCACCGGGGAGCAGCTGGGAGGCACGCAGGGCTGCCTCCCATGTGGCAGCGGGGGAGGGGGGTGGCATGTGCAGCAGGGATCCAACTGCTTACCCACTAAGGACACCAAGAACCAGGTTAAGGACGAAAAATGAGCCAAGGATGATCAGACTAACAAAATACACCCATGGCCATTCCCATCCTATCGCATCATTTACCTGTAAAATGCAAGGACATCAGTTATCAGTTAATCCACTTACTAAAGAACAGAGCCCCGGTTGCGGCTGCAGGACCACTCAGGGCTTTGGTTGAAGGTTGGTGTGCTAAGGAGAGGGTCTGAATGAGAAGGGTCCTTCCGCAGTTTTCCTCGGGGCAGGGCAAGCCCTGTGGCTGGTCTTCGGGAAGGGACTCTACAAAGTCAGCTCAGACCACTCGTTTATAGCTACACTTTTGTGCCAACTGATGGGCACTGTATTTGGATCCAGACCAAGAAAGTAATTATAAATGTATCTCATTTCAGGACAGACAAAAGGCCAAGCAAGGGAAATTATTTAAATCCCAAGCAACAATACTGATATTAATTAATTCCTGGTCAATAATCTCTCCACAGCTTTCTCTCGTGACAGCTGGTGAAGTTCCAGGAGACAGCTTGGTTTGGGCAGCCTCAGCAATACAAAGGGAGCGGTACCCGCCCACTGGCCCCTCCAGCAAAGCCTGTGTGGTCCTGGCAACTGTCCTCGGGACTCTGCTTTCAAGATGAAAGAGATGTAGCTTACCCGCTCAATACACCAAGTACAAGATTTAGTACGAAAAATGACCCAAAGATGACGAGACTGACAAAATACACCCAGGGCAATTCAAATCCCATAGCATCATTCATCTGTAAGAAATAAGATGGGCTCGTAGGAGTGGGTTAATAGGAGAATCTAGCAAGGAGAGAAGGGTCACATCAGAGAAAGCATTCCATACAGTGAATTAAACATTTGCTTAGACTGAAATCAGAGACAACAGCAGGCAGACATCCATTACATACTCCCAACACACACACACACACACACACACACACACACACAGGCGCACACACACACAGGCGCACACACACACAGGCGCACACACACACAGGCGCACACACACACAGGCGCACACACCTAGGAAGACTCACAGAGGTGTCAATGCACACACGTCCTGGCCCCAGGTAGGGAAATGAGTTGAGGTTTGGCTCCACCTCGGGACCCTGTCCTGATGCACACCCTCCAAGGGAAGTCTCAGCAGAGGGCAGAGCTGGTGCTCTCCTGGATCCTCGGGGCTGCTTTGCTCCAGAGGTTAGCATTAACTGTCCTTAAGATTTGGTGGCAAAGTCTCAATTATGGAGTCAGACCTGTTAACATGTGACTCTATAAACTCCTTAAAAACAAAAAAACTAGATGGATCTCTATAGGTCAAGGCCTGCCTTGTCTACACTGAGAGTTCTGGACCAGCCAGTTATACAGTGAGACCCATTCTCCAAACAAATAAACATATCTAACATAACCACTGTCTATTTGAAGGCAATCATCCTGTCCATCTACCCAAGGATGCCTGGCCCGCCTCAGATTTGGGTTCTCTGCGTACCACTAAATAAACATGAAAACAAGAAAAAACGGTGTCAAGGTCAATAGCTGACACGTGTTCTGGATGCTTTGGGGATGTGTGTGTGTGTGTGTGTGTGTGTGTGTGTGTTTCCCTCAGCTTGCACACACTAAAAGAACCTGGCTTTAACTGCTGTCTGTCCCACACCAACTCTGTGACCTGACAGGTGTTCAAAAAGGCAGGGTGACACCAGAGAAGCAGCTGACTCTCCTTGGAAGATTTTAACCGCTCCCTCAGGCGTGGCCTCCTTGTCAGGGATGGTTTGGGAGTGAGCCGTTTGCACAGAGGTGTGCTATGGATCACAGCTGGATGGGCCTTCCCAGCAGCACAGGTCAGCGTGTTCAGAGGGACAAATCCCCTGAGGGAAGGGGATGGTAGGATGGCTACCAGTCGGGCAGCAGAACGCACAACCCCAGGCCCTACTCTGCAGCAGCACCCTGGATCTTCAGCCAGTCAATGATCCGGACAGGCCAAGTTTGCTCTTTCTGGCAGGTGCAAACCCTTAGGGGTTTTAAGCCCTGTGCCTTTTTGCACATTATCTGCCTCCAGGTTTTAGCTTTATGGAAAGAGCCTCATGCATTTCACAATGTTTGCCTCACGCAGAAGCCAAACAGGAAAAGGGAACATAAAAAAAAAACAAACCCGAAAACCTAACATCTGTTGCCGAAGTCTAGGGAGAGGGCATTAACTCCCTTATGCAACACCTGCTTGGCCACATGAACACTGATGTGCTTAATGGGACCCGTATCCATCTGCACATCAGCAATTAGAGGAATGAATGAGCCTGGGCCAGGGCTCCGATTGTTGATCTAATTAAGTTGGATAAACTAATTTCATCAGGAAGGCAGAGGGTAATTCTTCCAAAGCAACTACACCACCAAACTTACTTTAAAAACAAAAACAAAAACAAAACCCCACATGTAGCCGGGAGAAGCAAGCTGCCTGGCGTGGCAGACAGGGCTTCGGCTTTGAATCAATAGCCATGACAGAAATTTCTAGCCTCTGCTGGAGCAGGGTGTGTACGTGGCAGAGGAGACAGTGACCCAGGGCAGGACTCTCATCGGACATCTTACTTTTGAGCCCGGCAGAGTCCGCCGAGCAGGCCATCTGCCTCACCTGGCTTCCTCAGACCTCAGTGACGTCAGAGCAAGGCTTTGGTAATGGCTGCAGGGGGAATGTCTCGTTTAAAGAAACGGAGATGCCTTTGAATTTCTTGGGAGTAGGGACTTTGCAGACTTCCATCTTCTCAAATCGCTTGGCAGCCCACAAGGACAGCCGAGGAAGACTGAGGGAGGCAGGGGCTAAACACAGCTGACCAGAGCATCCCTTTGCCAGAGGAGATGAAACGTAAGCTCTCGGGCCAGCCTCCCTCCCCACACACGGGCTGCAGAACCACGTCATTAATGCTTATCATACACACAGGGAAAAAAATCCGTTTCTGGGCTGGTCCCCCAAATGCCCACTTCGAGGACACGTTACCTGCCCAAGGTTCTGTATGTGTGTCATTCATCAACAGTGGAGACAGCAGGAGGGAAAGCACTTCGATTTAGATTAAGTTGTATTGATGTCACCCTCATCATGGAGGGCCACCTGGCACCCAAGACAATTTTCTATTTCGCTTCAGTTTTCTTATTTTAAGTGCCCATGCATGCCTCGAGTTAAAGGACAGCAAAAGGCGTTTGGGCTTTTCTAGCTCTCGGAAGCTGCTGGAATACCTCAGAGCATAGACTATGGGAAAGGCAAGGTCTTGAACTCTTGGGCACAGAAGAATCTCCGAGGCGAGGCGCTGGGACTGAGGGGTGCTATCAGGCGATCGAGTGCTTCTATAAGCGGTCTGTCAGCCAGCGCCTCTGCAGCCCTGTGCACCCTTGAGGGAAGAGCTTGGCACTCACACGAGAGGCTGCAGGGGACGCGAACAGCGCTCTCCCCAAACCAACACTTTGCATCAATTTCCTACATCCAAAAACGTTTCCTCTCAAGAGACAGACAAAGTTTGTTTGAAGTCGAAGGGAAAAATAATCACGTGTACAAGATGCTAACTGTGCATCCTATAGACAAAGGCGTCCAAGCCCAGAAGGATCCAGAACCTGGCCTTGTCCAGCTCTTTCTTTCTCTGCACTGCACTACCATCTCTATGGACAAAAACAAAAACAAAAAACCATGTCTGTGTGAGCTAAACAGCACTTAAAATACATTTGAGAAGCTCCCTTTATGAAACATCTACAATACATCTCCCCAGTAGCGGCTCGTGATCCCAATTCCCCACATCTCCAAACAGCTCTGCTACAGGTACGCCTTTGTGCCCAATCCCTTCCAAGACTCTGCCAGACACCTGCCAGAGACCCCTGAGAGCCACGGCCTGAGTGCATGGGAGAACATGGACTAAATAGAAACTTGTCTGGATGCGAAGGCTTTGGCCACCATATACAAAATCCTGGACGTCAAGAAATTTATTTGCAATCGGTATTTAAAGCTGAATCCCCTTTCTCTCTGAATAGAGTAGATAAAAATCCTCTGACCACAGGCCGTCTACACCAAGGAGGCAATGGGCTCAGTCCAGTGGGCTCAGGAGTGGAAACAATCATGTCTATTTCCTGAGCACCCACTTGAGGCCGGGCTTTGTGCTGGATAGAGATGTTCTGTTCCAGGACACAGCTGTGTGGCTTCCAGCTGACTGTGGCCCATAAAATACTGGGGAGCTTGAGTTCCCGGCCCCCGCCTTTCTTTATGATGAGCTAATAAATGCAATCAACAAGTGATTAAAAATAATCCTGATGTGTCTCAGACAGTAAGGTCTTTAAGAACACTCTGGAAGACATTACTCAGCTGCCCCCTAGTGTTACAGGAGAATCCATAAACCACTGGCAAGGGGAAGATTAATAAGGACAGCGTACTGGGTTCTGGTCTAGGCCAGCTGCCCCTCAACTATGATCTGAAGGCCAAATCCATTTTTTTCCTTTTATATGATTCTCGAAAGCCAAAAATTGGCTTCATGATTTTTAAATAGTTGTGGGCATGGGGGGGGGGAAGGGGAGGTAAAAAGGAGAACAGGTTATGATGTATAAGAGGCATAGGGAATTCAGATTTCAGGGCCCATATGTGAAGTGCAGTCAAGACAGGGCCATATCCTTTCAATCATGCTTACTCCACGGCTAGCTCCAAGCTCAATGGAGAACTGGGGGCTAGGATGGGGAATCACACGCCTCCAAGGCCAAACATATTTACTCTTAAGCCCCTTATTAAGATGTTCACAGATCCCTGCCCTTAATCAAGGGCTACGGGCTCTTGCTGGAGGTCCCTAAGGATGGTCGGGGGTCTCTTTATACAGGGCTCCGTCTTCAAGAGCTCACATGTGCTACGAGGTGAGAGAGACTAGAGAGATACTGAGGGATTGCACGTGCTCCTCCATCATAACTAAGGTGCTAAATGATTCATTGAGGATGTCATTAAATTGTCCAGTTATTAACTGTGTGATTGTCATAGCAACAATAAAGATCATTTCGTCATCATTAGTGAAAACTTCCCAAGAAAAAAAAAAGCAACTGGAAACTGGTGCCTCTGGGTGCATGATACCCCTTTCACACAATCCTGAAATTTTCTCTGCGTGATAATGGGACAATTGCTGTGACAGAATCGATGTGCAAACAAAAAAAAAGTAAATAAATAAAAAGAATAAGATAAGCTATAAAATTTCCCATTAGTCAAGGCATGCTGGATCGGCATCTGGCAATTCACCATGACAGCAGAGAGAGGACAAGGTTGAGAAAGTCACAGACTTTCACTTAAAAAAATATGAAAAAAAAAACCTCTCTCCTGTTTGTGGGAAGGAAAAGGACCGAGTTTGGGCTTCTGCAAGTGATACGCTCTATTTATCAGCCACCCCAGGGGAAGACTGGGACTAAGGGTTTTGCTGTGCTCAGAGCTGCAGTTTAAGAGACAGGAGTGAAGGTCGACCGTTCACCCAACCCTGAGCTCTGTGGCTGACAATGCCTGTCCTTCCTCGCCACGAGAGAAGGTATTGCCTGCGGCTGTGATTAACATCTGTGTCTGCAGACACACACGCACACACATGCATACACACACACACCATGCGCACACATGCACGCACACACACCACACCTGCACACACACGCGCGCACACACACACCACACGTGCACACACATACACACAGACGCACACGCGCACACATATGCACACACACGTGCACACGCGCACACACATGCTCCTACAACAATCAGAAAAAGGAATGAAGAAGAAACAAACTACAACATGTTGGTGACGCCCATTCTCCACTCAACAGAATATACAGTCGACCCTCAGTATCCACCCTCAGGTTCCAGCCTTGGCCAAAGCTGCTCAAGCCCCCTGGATAAGACAGTACAGCATTTGCGTATGACTTACAGCCACATATATCCCCATATACCTTAAATCATCTGAGGACTACTCTTAATTCCTAATAGCACGTGAATAATCACTATGCTATTGTTTAGGGAATAATTACAAAATGAGTCTGGGCACAGCCAGTGAGGATACTCTTTTTTTTTTTTTTTCTTTTTCCTTTCCTGAATTATTTTCAGTTGGCATCTGGCCAGTCAGATGTGGACTGGACCTACGGATGGAGGGTCTGTAGATACAGAGGGCCGGCTGTACAGGACCACCGGCAGTCTCACAAGCACAGGGCTCACCAGGGAAGGGAAGCAAACCCACAGCCAAGGGTCACATGGTGCGTTCTCTGAGGGCAGAGAGTGATAGGAAACCCTGCTAGGGTTAGGGTTTGGAAACTACCGGAAGCTGCTTCTCCATTTCTAAGCCTTTGGCCAAGAAGCTGCCTACTCAAGAAATACTACTAGTTTCCTCTAAACCAGTTCTCAGCCTTCCTAATGTTGCGACCCTTTAATAGTTCCTCTTGCGGTAGTGACACCCCCGCCCGCCCCCCCACACCACAAAATCATTTCCTTGCTATTTCGTAACTGTGATTTGGCCACTGTTGTGAATCATAATATAACTATCTGACATTTTAAACTCCCCCTCCCCCCACAAGGGGTTATGACCCACAGGTTGAGAACCATTTCTCCAAATAATTACTGGAATACTAGTTTCACGAACTTGGATTTGGGCTCAAAATCTAGATGCTACTGTATTTCCCAGCAACTCAGTTACTGTGGGGTGAAACATTGTTTCTAAATTTCTGGGAGCTTATTAAAAAAATGCTACCTATACACCAAGCCAGCAGGGGAAACGGGCTGCTGTATTTTAGTCACAGACAACCCTCCTGGCTCTGCCAGGAACAAGAGGAGTCACACGCTAGTCGCTAAGAACTTATCCACCTGTTATGGGGGGGGGGGGGGGCGTCAACCAGCGTTGACTTTTTCTAACATCTCTGCCAGAGCTCTTTGACTCAAGAGAGAGCAGAGAGGAGGAAGGATTGGCTCTGGCCTGTCACTGACGCTGGAGATACAACAGGGGAGTGGAAAAAAGGGGGAAGGGAAAAAATTAATGGTGAGCTGTGGTCTCATAAAGCTGTGGATGCACGGGAGGGGCCTGGCTGTGTTCCCCACTTTCCTTCAGAATTTGGTAAAGTAACTGCCTTTATGTCGTCTAGGCTGGGAATCAAGGCGCCTCTATCCCTGGGAAATGCTGCTCTGTCTCTCTGAGGTTAGCCAGGATGGCCACGGATGCCAGCGCTCCCATTGGGATTAGCGGGCAGGGGGCAAATACAGTTAAGAACAAGTCCCCAAGCTGCCCGCACTGGGGAGGTAGATGTCTACCAGGCCAGGAGGAGCTAATGCCGGTGCGTGTGCGCGTGCGCGTGCGCGCAGCAGCCTTCCGGTGCGGGGGTGGGGGGACGGTCCCCGAGAGCGGGAGGAGGGGCTCACCACGTGAACAGAGGGCCTAGGTCTGCTTCCCTTCCCAAAGACCCGACCTCCGGGGGAGGAGGGGGGCTCCGTTCTCAGCCAGCTGCTCTCCCCCAAGGGAACAACATGCTGCGAATGCTCCCTGAGCTGCTTACCCAGTAGAGCACGTCTGTCCAGCCCTCCATGGTGATGCACTGGAACACAGTGAGCATGGCGAAGGCAAAGTTATCAAAGTTGGTGATGCCTCCATTGGGGCCCACCCAGCCACTCCTGCATTCCGTGCCATTGACGGCACACTGGCGTCCATTCCCTGAGAACGCACACGGAGCTGGGTCCTCTTCAGCTACGATATCTGGGAAGGAGGAAGCAGAGGGCCATTTAGAGGAGGAACACCAGGACTCTTGCTCAAGCACAGAATACTCAACACCGGTACCTTTGCAGACTCAGGATCTCAACTGCCCCTAAGCTCCGCTCGGAACGTCCCCCTTGCCTGTGGAATCCAGCTTCTCCTGGATACCCACCACTCATCGCTCTGCACTCACAGATTGAAAAAAAAAAGTGCCTTTCCTGGGATGACAGAACTGGTGCTTCCTGCTTTTTCTTGTGCAGATCCCCCATCTTATCTGCTAGGACTCATTCCACAGGCAATCAGGGTGGAAAAGGAGAATAGATTCCCATTTATCCCCAACACAACTCACTCACAAAGAGAGGACAGGAAGAAAAGACTCAAGAGACCATCGCCTCCCCCAAGCCAAAACGTTTTCACGTTTGGTTAATACCACTGTCACTACTCACCTGAGTCAGCAAAAAAACATGTTTTGTGCATTTTTCCAATAAAAAGTTCCAATCCTATAATAGCATAGATGATAATTACAAATAATACCAAAAGGGCTATATGAAGGAGGGGGACCATGGCTTTTATAATGGAGTTCAGAACAACTTGTAAACCTAGAAGAGAGAAAAATCCATTTGTGAGTTAGGAAGACACTTCAAATGTATCATAAATATAATCCCTAATGATGCTTGCTCTATTTATGACATACAGTAATAAAGTGCAGAGATATCTCAAAGCTGTTAATTAATACTAAGCCCAGATAGGAGATGAGATAAAAAGGGACTCTTAAAGATCATTTAGTACAACTCCTTCACTAGACAGATGTGGAAAACTAAGGCCCAGAGAGGAGTAGCTAGTAATAATCATTTATTCACTTACACACCTTTTTTTATCCATTTAACAGAACCACCAAAATATGCAAAATTTGGGTACTATAAAGGTGAATTACACAAAGTGGCTCTCTTAAGAGGCTATAGTCTAGAAGGAAATGTGAGGATTTAACAAATTACTCTCGGGTAGTACGCAGACACTGTATGAGAAACGGCAACTGGAGAACTGAAGGGGAATGAGAGCATTGTCTCTGAGAAGGGTGAGCACAGAGGACCTGGAGTAGTTTCCCATCTGCCTGGGCCTGAGGACAGATCCCCGTAGGCAGGCCTCGCAGGAAACCCAAGGCTTCGCGAAGCGAGCAGCGTGAGCTGGGGTGGGGGTTGTCACAGCTAGCCATGAAGGCCACCAGCCAAGAAGTCACAGCCGCCCTGTTCCGGGCTGTGAATCTGGGCTTGGTTGGGCTCAGACCTGAGACCTCCAGCAAAAGTTGCCTCGGAGAGAGTCAAGTGGGCAGGTAATCCGTGCAAAAGGCAGAGGTGGGCCAAGAGAGGCGGGGCTCTGGGAAGGTTGCCATGCAGAGAAGGATGGGGCCTGACTTCAACTACAGGCAGGCTAGCACGAAGGAAAGGAGTCTTAGGAGTGCTCCAGGGATCTCAACCAGGGTTGGGGGCCAGACTGCAGCTGTCCTCCATCCCTACCCAAGGAGAGAAAAGAAAAAAAATCCGTGTAGGATGGAGCAGGCAAGCCACGAGAGCAGATGGCTGAAAGTGACCTCAGAAAGGTTGTGACGTTGGGGTGAAGGCGTCCTGCGGCTAACACAGGCTTGAGCGGAGAGAGACTCAGAGCTGTGATGCAGGGACAGGCGTCAGGGGGAAGACACACGGTGACAGGGAGGGAACAGAAGGGAAGGAAAAGCGGGACCCAGACCCTGCACAGGAACGGGCTTCTCGGCCCAGAGCTCAGTGTTTTGCCCTCTCCCTACCACTCAAGCACCAGCTTCTGTACGGGCTATTCATTCCTTTTCTCCTTCTTCCCCTTCTTATTTCCCTAACGTTTATTCAAAGACGGAAAGAGAGAAAGGAAAAACAAAACAGAAGATGAGGTAAAACAAGCAGCAGCAGGAATAAGCCAAGCGGAGACCCTAGCAGCTACAGCAGCGTGTCTCCCTTGGTGACTGCGCCTGGGCAGAGACCACAGCAGGCAGGCACAAGCGGGAGACTGACAAAGGGACCCCGTCTCCCTAAAGCCTCCTCTGCAGCTAAAATTCTAGACCCCGTCTCCCTAAAGCCTCCTCTGCAGCCTCACTGAGCTCCTCAGGAAGATGGTGAGAACCAGCCAGAGGATCTCCAGTGTTCTTTCCCATTTTTACGGTCTTGGATTGTAGTTTTGCTCTTTCTTTTGTTTAAGACAGGATCTCGCCATAAAGCCTTGGCTGTTCTGGAACTTGCTCTGTAGACGAGGCTGGCCTCAAACCCACAGAGATCTGCCTGACTCTGCTCCTGAGTGCCGGGATCAAAGGCATGAGCTATCACACCTCATGCTCTTGGCTTCTGATCAACATTTACCAGATAATACAATGTAAGTGGGCAAAGTCCCCCCCCCACTAGTAAACGAGCTTGCTGCAAGCCTGCTGATCTGAGTCATAGAAGGAAAGAAATGACTCCTGAAAGTTGTCCTCTAACCTTCACAGTGTGTACCGTGACAGTCATGCATGAACACGCATGCCTGTGTGTGTGTATGTGTACACAAATAAAAATATAATTAATTAAAAAAATAATTCCAGCCAGGCGGTGGTGGCGCACGCCTTTAATCCCAGCACTCCGGAGGCAGAGGCAGGCGGATCTCTGTGAGTTCGAGGCTGGGCTGGACCGATAGCCTCCAAAACAATACAGAGAAACCCTGTCTCGAAAAACCAAAAAAAAAAAAAAAAATTCCACAAGACTCAACAATGCCCCTAACTATGTGGTTGTCTTCTCTTTAGTGGCTATGTACTCGGGTGCCCACAAAGATTCTATTCTGAGGGACAGCCTCACTCTTCAGGGGTGAGGAGACACAGTCCTTTACAAGTGTGGCCAAACAACCCCGGGCATGTTCCATGACTTCAGGCGCTAGAGAAGAAATCACCGTGTCCAGGGCTGGAAATAGCATGGCCTGCAAGCCCCGATTCCTCTCTCCCAAGCCCATTTGGACTGGAGGCAAACAGTCCTTGACAAAGCCAGCTAAAATGCAGGCTGAAGGTAAGAGCTTCATTTCTCTCTCTGGTGACCTGTGGCAGAGTGAGACACAGACCACCGCAAACTCAAATAGCCTTGTGTCTTGGAGGAAGGGAGAGCAGAAAACTGTCCTGCGGAGTCTATGGAAACCTCCTCAGCCCGAGGAGTCAAAGCCAGGCTGGGCCCCAGCTCCAAGAGTTTTCATAGGCGGGGCCTCTCGTCCACACACGAGCCACGGTTCCGTGTCTGCACGCAGCACACAGCACAGGCAGGCTGTCCTGCCATTTGCTCTTTAGGGGAAAAAAGGCTGTCATGGTTACTTTGAAATTAGATTAAGCTGTGACAACTGAATCTGGAAGGGCATATTTGCTCTCTAAGCCGCTCATTCCATCACGTTATACTTAACAGTGTCAGCCACCGCCAAGGTACTCTTTCCTCTCAATCGCTTCCAGACAGCTCTGTGGTTTTTGATCTTTTTCAATGAAAATAAATGAACCATCTGGAAAAATAAGTACACTTAAAACACCACTTCCTACATTTTAAATGTTAAATTTGGAAATGTAGTATTTTTTTTTCCAGGAGTTTGGTGTGTTCTGAGTGCCCAAGGTTTAATAAAACTTCATGAAGACAGTCTGGGAGGAAGAATCGGTGCTCTGATGGCTTTACGGGGGGGGTGACCAGCACATCCTTGCTCCTGCTCCGAGCGGTCAGTCTCCAGGACATCTACACTCTCAAGGCCCCAGGAGACGCAGTCTTACCAAGGGCAGAGCTGCAGGGGCAAAGGCCAGCCAGCTTCTTAAGGAAGGGTCTTCCCTCCCAACCTAGGTGAGACTCAACTTGCCTAGGGGTCAGAGTCAGACGCCAAGCAGGACCAGGCACCTGCTGATGCGGCAGTCTCCTAGAAGGCACCGACTCCCTCATACCCCTGCTGGGGTTGGCACTCATGGTCTCATGGGGCTCTCACGCCACCGTCACACAGGGAAGTGCTGCGCTCGGCACACAGGTGTGGAAACCGGCACGTCCCTTCCTCTTCTCAGAGAGGGCCAGGTGCCATCGCTGGTGGAGGGGCCGATCGGAGTTTCCAGAAGTCCAGTTGTCCCTCCCCCCCCCCCCCCCGTACCCTTTGCTCCTCACTCAGAGCCCCCCCCCCCCCCGTTTCAATACTGCTCACACTTCTAGGTGAGGCAGACTTGTGACTAGGAAGAAGGCCACAGGGTGCCATCGGAGTGTAGAACTAGACAGGAAACGTGAGGCCAGAAGCCCGGGTCACCTACCGCCGGCCGCCCAGCCTCTTTCCATGAAAAGACTTCTGAAAAGCAGATGACAACTCCCCCCCTTGCCAGGCGGTGACGGCGCACACCTTTAATCCCAGCACTAGGGAGGCAGAGGCAGGCGGATCTCTGTGAGTTCGAGGCCGGGCTGGACCGATAGCCTCCAAAACAATACAGAGAAACCCTGTCTCATAAAAACCAAAAAACAAAAAACAAAAACCCCCCCACCTGTTCCTCCTTTGGGAGTGTCCCAGAGAGCCAGTGATGGTGTGAATCTGAGTCCTCCAGCATCAAGGATGGCCCTACTGCTACCGGGCCCAACACCTCGCTACACTGCTGCACTGTTTCCTGACGCCGAGACCCGCCCAATGGGGTGAAAGCAGTACTTCTGGGGGTGGGAGGAAAAACAAAACAAAACGTGTGCTTACTGGGCACTCCTGATACAAGTCGAAGTGGTCTTAACACTCGGAAGGCACGGAGGGCTTTGACATCAAAGCCTCCTGATTTGCCACTAGAGTGGTTCCCGCCTTCTGTTTCTTTGGTTAATTGTTCCAGAATTACACTAAACAATCTGAAAGAGAAAGAGGAAAAACACGTGTTAGTCTGCCACCCAGGTAAGCAAAGCAGGGCGACAAACGGTAGTTATTTTTCCGAACAAGGGCTCATTCCGGGCGGCTGCTAACTGAATGAAAAGAAGGGGAACAGAGGCAAGAACCTGGCCATGGGACCCCAGCCTGCCCTGCTACCCCGAGGACCTCAGATGGACGGACACTACGCAGGTCTGTGTTTACACCAACAATGCAAGCAGAAGCAGGGGCTCATGGAGGACCCAAGGGAACAAAGGCCACTGCATTGGTGACAATGCTCTTGGCAGACATGGCTTTGTAGTGACCAGTCCCCCATTTTAGCAGCCATGACAGGCTAACATGTGCTCGAATCACCTTGTGGCTCCTGTCCTGATTACTAGGAGGTCAGACACCTCCTCATGGCAAGGAACCAATCAGAAGTTAGCGAGCAGGGTTGTGCTTTATGGTTCTGGGTGTGCTTAATGGACAAGTGCACAACAGTGATGTGCAGAGCATAGCAACCGCCCTGGGAGCTATACAAGTCGAAGTGGTCTTAACACTCGGAAGCGCACCAGTCCTGAGACTGTTTCATACTCCTAGACACTCCCCTTATGCAGCCCTTTAAGATCCCTGCCTCGAGGTTACTCTGGGTCTTTCTCCAGCCATTCGCCATGGTGGCAGGGTGAAGAGCCCGAGCTAATAGGGTTAGCTCATTAAACAACTACAATAAAAGGCTCTTTGCTTTTGCATCGAAATGGGCCTCTTGGTGATTTGGCGGTTCAGAATTTGGGCACCACAGCTTGTGAGGCCGACTTGTATGCGTCTCTGCCACCAAGCTCAGACTCACAAGAGCCTTCTACAATATTCTCAAGGCTCCTTTCCAATCAGGTGGAAGCAGGGCTGACTGGGGGTTCGGGGGGAGCACATCCGCCCCAGGTCAGGCCACCAGCGGCAGAGCTAACATTCCAATCTAGGAGCTCGTGGATAGGAAGGCTTAGTAGGCTCCATGAGGGCAGTGAATTTTCCTCTGTTCATTTCGTCTGTCTTAGCTCAGCTCCTAAAACAGTTCCAGACGCATACAGAGTACTCAAGAAATGTATGGACGAGTAAGGAGATGGGCAGCTTCCAAGTCCCACATCCTAATGCGTGACACCCGCCCCCTGCAGCCTCACTGAGGTCGTCAAGACGACATGGATCACAAAGGAGCCGCAGTGGGCAAAGGCTAAAAGTTATCTAAGGGAAGGCATTAATATCGCCATTTTCCCCTCTGAAATGTGAGTAATGTTGTATCTGGCAGCAACGATACGTTTCTGTTTTTTTCTTTCCCCTACTCTCTAAAGGTTTTCCGTAAAACGCTATTTTTGGACAATCTTCTCGTTTGACAGTTACTTTTGCTTTTTAAAATAAATATTTATTCTTTGGAATGGTTGCTTGTTTTTTTTTCAGAGTAAACATAAATTTGTCCATTGCAAATAGCATTAACTTTGGCCAATCAGATTGTGGGAATAATTGGCCTGGGAACAAAGAAAAGGTTTCTAAAGTTTAATTAGTAGCCCGAACAGAAATTCTGCCCCCTCCTTGACAGGCCTCTGGGTCACCAAGGCACTAGGTCCATAAAGCACAGGGTGGTCTGATTGCTGGACTGGTTGGGCACGACTCTGTCACCCCAGAGCATTTATTTTAATAACAGACAGCAATTAGCTGTTGGGAGGGGAAACAGGCTGGTCCCTACCTTCTTGAGCTTCTGGCGAGCTAGCTTGAGTTCCGACTGGGGAAACTGAACACAGTTATGACGGGTTTCTTATTATGTTGGCTTTTAAAAATGACTGTAAACTCTTGCAGCAAAGCTAATATTAAAAAATCTCTCCTCCAAAAACAAAATTCATGGTTTCAGAGAAACCAAGAAAAGGGAAGAATGACAAACTTCACACTGCAAATGTGGAAGCCACAGGAATGTTCAACCCAAAGGGTTAGGAAATCAACTTCTGCAGGTGGTGGCTGAAGCCTGCTCCCAAGCATGGGTGACTGACTGAAGCCTGCTCCCAAGCATGGGTGACTGAAGCCTTCTCCCAAGCATGGGGTGACTGAAGCCTGCTCCCAAGCATGGGGTGACTGAAGCCTGCTCCCAAGTATGGAGGTTTTCTAAAGTGGACCAATGTGGTTTTTCATAGCCATTTCATCCTCAATTCTTCAACAATGTCCTTGAAAACAGGGGACTAACGTCTCTCTACTATAAAAGAGTTGCTTTGCTGCCATTTGTAGTTGGTATGGGCGGTGAAGCCTCCCTTCTCCGGGGCTTAGTTTCCCTCTCAGCAAAAATGAGAACACCCAAAGAGTCTCAGAGCTCTGCCTTCCCTGATCTCAGATTCTACAGTCTATTCCTCTCCTACTCCTCCCAACAACAGCAGCAGCAGCCACAGCAGCAGCAAGAATGGAGCAGCATGTACCTGAGCAGACAGGGACAGAAGGAAGCAGCAACGCGGGATCCTAGGGTATTCCACGTTTGCCCCGAGAGAAGAGGGCATGCCCCAAACTGACCCAGGCCAGGTGCGCAAGAATGGGGACTCTGTGCTCTCCCCCACAAAAGTGACAAGCTTGAATGCTTGAGATCTCTCTTCACTCAGAACCCAGAGGAATGGGTGAGAGCTGATCCAGACCAAGCTTTCTTTCAAGGAAGTAGCTTAAGCTATGGCAGGCCCCTTGGTCCTTGTGAGCTCACACTAATGACAGCTACGCACTACGTTCTTAGCGGCTCTTTCAGTGGGACTATTGACAGAAGTAACAGGTCACTGCGGACTCAGAATGGAAAACTCACTGGACACAGAAACAGACTATAGTTGGAAACTTCAGTGACTGGGAATTTGATTCAAAGATGTCATAATATTTTTTTCTTCTCTATAATTTTTATCCTTTTCTGTTACAATCGACCATAATTTAGCAAGAATTTTACTTCCTGTTTTTTTTTTGTATGTGTGGTGGTAGGGAGTGGGTTAATATGTTTGATGAATAATCTGTGAGGTTTTTTTTATACTAATGAAATATCATTGAGTCCAGTTCTACCTTAAGTTACTTTTATATTTACCATCAATTTTACCACAGTTTATTTTACACACGAGAAATGCACCTGTTTAAAGTTTAAATTAGCTGAGTTACGACAAATATGTCAGGAAGTGCAGCAAACAGCCACTGTCAAGGCAGAGGCGAGGCTTGCAGGGTCTCCAGGAGCCCTCTGGGCCCCTCACTGAGCACGGCTACCACAGAAGAGCTACTCACCTCCAGAGGCTTTCCCTCCTCTAGAGACTGCGTAATGGACTCACAGGGTACGCTTTTTACTTAATCATATTTTTTTACTTTTGAGATTCACCCAGGCTGTTACATTTATAGGTTTCTTTTACTGCTAATATTCAATCAAGTGATCACATCATGATAATTTTTTTATCAGTTTACCTATCCTATGGTATTAAGCTATTTTCGGTTTTCCTCTACTTTGAATAAAGTCTTTCTGTGGACACGTGTTTTCATTTCCTTGGATAAATACCAGAAAACCAGCAATATGGTCACATGGCAAATGTTTATAGTACTGGAAGAAAGTGGTGGAAAATCTTCCGAAGTGACTTCACCGCTTCCAGTTTTAGAAGTGGTGGACGAAAGTTTCAATTAGCCCACGTGTTGGCAATCATTTGGTCTCTTTGGTCTCTTTACACCCAGTATCCTCGCAGGCACATGGTGCTGTTAGTGTGGTTTTAATTAACATTTCTTCAATTACTAGCAATGTTCAGGGGCTAGTTGGCCAGCCACATATTTTTTTAATGAAGATCCATTCAGATATTTTGTGCATTATGTAGCATGCTGTCTTCGTGAATGCTCCTTTATACATAACCAAGTACTTGGTATACATTTTTACTCTCTGTGAATAAACATTATATACATTTTTGGCCCTCTGTGAATTGCTTTTTAAAAAAATTTTCTTCACACTGACTTTTGAAGAAAAGCTTTACATTTTGATAAAGTTGAATCTTCTCATTGTCTCTTTAATGGGTGATGCCTTTGGCCTCTTTGTCTTTTGAGAAAGGATCTTGCAAGCCCCAGGCTGGCCTTGAACTCACTACATAGCTGAGGAAGACTCTGCTTGAAGCCTTGAGCCTCCTCCCCTTGTGCAGGGATTTAAAGAGCTCACCACCGGCACCCGTGACTTGGAAATCTTTACCTGCCTAGGAACCATAAAAGCTTTCTACATCATTTTCTTCTTGAAGTTTTGTAGCTTCAAACTGCAAATACGCGCCTACAGCCCATGTGAAGGCACCGTCTACACATGGTGTGAGGTAAGAATAGGTCTTTCACGCTGACAAGTGGTCGTTTCAGCACTGTTTACTCGGGAAACAGGTTCCTCGTGACACTGAACCACCAAGGCATCTTTTCCTGAAATCAGTGATGGCATCCACGTGTCTATATGTAGACACCCTATCTGACTCCATCGACCTTCATGTCAACCCTGCACTTCACTACCTTGACTCCAATGACGTTAGAGCATCCTGTAAGATCTGACCCCAGTTTTTGTTCTTAAAGATCTCTTTGGCCAGTTTAAGAGTCTGTCTAATTTCCATACAGACGGTACAAAAAACAATCTTGCCAATTTTCCAAAACCCTTGCTGGTATTTAGGTTAGGATACAGTCTGCACCTTGCTTTAGGAAGAAGTGGGAAGCCTGAGAACATCAAATCCATTAACTAAATATTTCATAGCTTTAGTGCCACTGTGAAAAGTAACATTTAATACTTTCATTTTCTAAGTGCCCACCGCTAGTATCTAGGAGTTACTATGCTTTTTATAGTGACTTTTTAAAAAAAAATCCAGAAACATTGTTATATTCATTCAGGAAACCTGATTCTCTATTATTATTATTATTATTATTTTAGTTTTAAATTCGCTGGGATTTATTTTGTGGCCCAGAATATTAACTCTCTTGATAATGATGTCATATGCATGCATGTGAAAAAATATGTAGT